ACTAATTATTTCGAGGTCACAAATCAATAGTTTTATAGGTCGCATATTATTTTATTAGTCACAGATCCAAAAATTACGGGTCACAGTTATCTATCAGTCATATATTTTCAAATTTATTGGTCACTGATTAATTTCTAGTTACAATTTTAAGGTCACAGTTAGATTTTTTGTGTGACTACTACCGACATTTGTGACCACCTTGCCGCCACCACTGCCAACACCACCATCGCCAACAACCACACCAATCATTCACGGCCAAATCGTAACTGCTGCAGATCGCCACCAGATTTGCGAACTATGCCAGATCCATAGTAAAACCACCTCACCGCCGCCAATATCCATCACCAACAAAAAAAAAAACCCCCCAAAAACCACCTCCACCACCAACCACGAACCCACATATCCACAATCACCAACACCGCACAATCACCAACCACAAAATCACATATCCACAAATCAGTGTAAAATCCCAAAACACGAAACAACAACAACAAACCCCACCTCCGCCGCTAGATCCCTCATCAGCACTAGATCCACCACCATTGCCTCAAACAAAAAACACCACCAAACACATGTAAACCACTGTTACTACCATTTACCGTACAAGGCGCCTTCGCCTTCATAGCACCGCCACAACCCATTAACTGGTCTCAACAATCGCCACAGCCACCGTCTTCGTTACCACCAACACAAACATCTAACCCAACACCAATAGTCTTCGTTACAGAGAGTGATATTCGTGATCTGCAGCGCACAGAGGTGATGCATCTCCTCGCTCGAGTCGCTCTGTGCGCGACATTCATCCTCGTCTCTACGACTGCACTCGTCGCCATCGTCAGAGAGGATATTTGGAGAAAGAGATAGGGGGGATCTAGCCTCTAGGTGCATTGGGAGAGAGAAGAAATTGAAAAATAATTAGGGCATAGGGTAGATGATAGAAGTGGTGCCGCAACTATCGATCGCCGGCTTAGGTGCCGACGATGTGGTGCTAGTGGTGGTGCGCCGGTGGGTGGTGACGGTGGGGATTCAGAGAGAGAGGAGAGCGGCAGGCGGAGAGAATTAGAGAAAGGGAGAGAAAATGAAATTAGGGTTTGAAAATTGTGTAGAATTGATTTAAATAAAAATTAATTTAAAAATGATTAATTAAAAC